TTGAGGAGAGAGCGTTCATCTTTCCTTGCATTTTTTTTTTCCAATCTAGTACCTGCAAGAAGAAATTCACAGCTGTATCATGGCTAAGGCACCTAGAACTTTTAGTTCTGAAGACCAACACTTGGTCCCACTGAGTAAGAGCTATATCATGAACACATGCAATCCTTCCATAATCTTTTATTTTAGGTAACTAGGTTAACAAATTTTCTTCTTAAAAGTTGTTTTATTATTTTATTTTCCTTTACAGTTTATGTTTCTCAAATTGGTCTTTTAGGACCTGTAGCACTAGCAACATCTGGAAACATGCCAGAAAGCATGATTGGACTCTCTAATGTAGGAGTGTAAGTATTTGCTGAAGATAATGCTGGTCTCTCACACTGAAAGAGGATACTATCAATACTATAAGTCATTGGTTCCCAAATTTACTGTGCATCAGAGTAATCAGGAAGATATGAGGAGCTGAAGATCGCTGCACACATCCCGAACACCTGTAGATTTGGAGTGGGTGTGAGAAGATTCATCTCTAACACTTTTCCCATGATGCTCATGCTGTTGCTCTTCCGTCTCCTCTTTAAGACACATTGGCCTAGATTGTGATTTTCAACGACTCAACAGCACACTCATTAAACATTTAATATAGAGAGATGAACAATATACAAATCAGAACCTATGCAGGTGGATGTGGCATGAGAGCTGTGACAACTTCCCAGGTGATGCTAATGATTAGCCAGGTGCGAATTCCTCTGGAGATGTCTCAGAAGTGACTCTCAATCCTGCTTTCCCATTAGAACCACCTGGCAGGCTTTAAAAACCTTGATGCCTAGATTTAAAATCCCAGAGGTTCCAATATAATTGGTTTCAGGTACAACCTGGCAGTCAGAGTTTTGAGAGCTTTCCAAGTAAGTCTAAATGCAGCTAAAGTTAAGAACCACTATCCTAAATATCCTGTGCAGCTGTAAACACTTCATGTTTTCCCAGTCTTCTATGCAAAGGATACAGTATTCAAGGAAAACAAAGTAGGAAAACTAAATCCTACACTGGTTTATTTTCTAGTCATCACACAGGCTCCAAGTTTATACTGAATGGAACTTAATACCTATGACTTCCTATGACTTTGTATACTTAAGAGTAAATTATCTAAATCCCATCCTGAATGACTACAAAATTCATTTACTGTCAGCCAAATTCACTTTTGTTTACAATGTATGATGCATTTTCTTGTTTGGAAAAATATCCTAAGGGTACACAGGTAATTTCATTTCTTATACTTTTAATTTATTTATATATTATCCTAGTTAATGACAAGCTCTACTACAGTCAAATGTTGCACAGCAGAAATAGGCAAGCACAGTCCTCTGCCCCCATCTCTAGGAAAGATGCTTACTTGTCTGGTTTGGCTGACTGGAACACAGATTTACATAGTATTCAGGATCTGGTACCCAGGTAGAGCAAGATTGCACAGAAATGACAGTCGGCAGCCAGAGAAGCCCCTTACCTCAGTTAGTGAAGAATGAACATCAGTGAGCTTTTGAGTCAGGGAAGCATCAAATTGGGAAGTTGTAAAGGCTTCTACCTCAGCCTGTGAGGCAGACCCTTTCTGGGCAAGGTGGTATTGTAATGACATATTAATGAAACACTCATAAATATTAACAGGCTTCACATCAACCTTTTTTGTATCTGTGGAAGACTGCTCTTATATAGCATATTGTCCCTCTCTTACCTCCCTAGCAGCATGTAAACAGCCATTTGACCTTGAGCAGGATACTTAACTTCCAGGCCTTAGTTTTCTCAAAATAATATGGTCCTGCAAGTTTTTGGAGGACTACAGGAGATAACCTGTTAAGCATTTAATCCAGTACCTGATACATACTAGCAGTTCAGAAATATTACTGTTTTCTTCAACCCTGTCCTTTCTAACATTACTAGCATTGACTTCAGCAAACATGACCATCAACAATCAAAGGCATTGACTCTCTTCCTCTCTGTCCTTTCTTCTACTGTCTTAGCCTCTCTATTGCTGTAACAAAACAGTCTGATCAAAACCAACATGGAAGGAAAGGATTTATTTGGCTTACAAGTACAGTCCGTCATCTAGGAAAGTCAAAGCAGGAACTCAGGGCCGGAACTTGGAGGCAGGGCCTGAAGCAAAGGCCATGGAGGAACACTGCTTACTGACTTGCTCCCCTGACACATGCTCTGCCTGCACAGGACCACCTGCTCAAGGGTGGCACCACCCACAGTGGGCTGGGCCTTCCCACATCACTCAACAATCAAGAAAATGTCCCACAGACATTGCCACAGGCCAATTCAATGGAGGCAATTTCTCAACTGAGGTTCCCTCTATGCAGGTGTGTCAAATTGATAACTAAAGCTATACAGTTCACCTACCAGTAGACACAGTCTAGAGAGACAAATACTGCCTAATGAGTGACAAGTGGGTATCAGAGACAGCACAGGGGAATAGAACCCAAACATAGGGGTGGACCTGCAAGTATCTGCTGGGGGTTCTGAAGAAGGGTACTCTTAGGAGATGAGTAAAAGTTAGCCAGATATAGTAGTGGGAGACACTGGAGAAGACCTGAGAGACAGGAGAATTTCAGACAAAGAACAGCAACTGTAAAAGAGGTGACCTGTCCTGTACTGAAAAACCACAGCATAGGCTAGTAACTTTGACCTGCTAGAAGTTGTTGGGAAGGGATGAGGGACGAAGCACAAGGACCAGGCAGATCTCTAAGCATGTCTGCCAGTGTTTCTCAAAGTGTGGTTCCCAGACCAGCAACATGAACATCAGTAGGGATCTGGTTAGAGATAAAAATTCTTATGTGTTACCTAGACCCACTGAATGCTGGGTCTGAGACCACTAAATCTTTTTCTAAACAAGTCCCCCACGTAACCCGATGTGTACTATGGTTTAAGAAACACTGTTGTGGCTTGAATATTTGTGTCCCTCCAAGATTCATGTTGAAACAGTCTCCAGTACAACAGTATTAACAGTGTTTAGATGGTGATTAGTCATGATTATTCTTCTACGGGGAATAGAATTAAGTCCCTTATAAAATATGTGCTTCAGCACATCAGACTTTTCAAACGTCATGTAGGCAGAAACTAGGTTCTCACCTAACTCTAAAACTGCTAGCATTTAGATCTTGGGCTCCCCAGCTTCAGAAATAGGGGAAATAAGTTTCTGTCACTATCTAGTTACCAGGCATTTTGTTACAGCATATATACATACATTTAAATATTCTGTTTTACTATGATGCTATTTTGCTAGACCACTGTCATAATAAGAAATGTGGTCAATTTCCTGAAGGGAGTGGGAAACTGGAAGGCTATTCAATGCATCGGTATTTCTCTGCTTGACAGGCTTACTCTGGAGGAAAGGTATGAGAGGAAGCTAAAGGCTGTGTGGAGGCAGTGTGAGTAATGAAGGCTAACGGCTAGCACACAGGGAAAGAAACCAGACACTGGAAGGGAAGGTGTTTTCCTTGCTGTATGCACATCTCATAAAAATTAAATGTCAGGGGCCGGAGAGATGGCTCAGTGGTTAAGAGCACTGACTGCTCTTGCAGAGGGCAGGGTTTGATTCCCAGCACCCACGTGGGGCCTATGAACTGTCCTTAACGCCAGTTCCAGGGGAATCTGAAGCCCTCTTCTGACCTCCGAGGCATTCACGACACTGGTGCACTCACGTATATGCAGGTAACACACTCATACACATAAAATAAAAATAGTACATAAAATATTTAAAAATTATAAAGTCTAAAATAGGAAGAGGGATAATATGCAAATTCTGCCTGAGGGTGCCAATGATCTAGGAACGGGTTCACTCCTCCTGAGGACACCTTCCATCAACCCACTGCAGAAGCATGCAAGACCTCCTCTGGGAAGCCAATTTGGTTGTCCTAGACAGCTCAAGAGAGTCCCCTTTCTGCCTCCTCAGAGGGAAAAACCTGGGTTGAACTGATATCACAGAGACTGGATCATGTAGAAGACAGTGAAAGACAACCTATTAGTAAGAGAAAACAAACCTGTTGGATTGTAATTTCTGTTTCTACAAATACCTGGTGGTATCAAACCATGTGTATTGCTCAACACTTTCTGTTCCCCATGTATGTGGGGAGTAAAAGGGGTGCAATTGAGACAATAGTGAAGGAACTGTTCACTGAAAGCTGAATTTGAGCTAGAGTAGAAATGGGACAGACTTCTTTCTGTTAGGTCTTCTTCCTCTTCATTATCATCATTGTCGTCGTCGCCATCCTTCCTAGCTGCAGGGAAAAGGTTGTTGGAGAAAGGTGAGCCTTTGGATAATGCAGGAGTAGTGACTGAAATGTACCTTTAAGCTTGTTCTCCAGGCCTGGGAGAGACTGCAAAAGGAAACTGCATTAGCTGAGAGAGGAAGGGGAAAAAATTCCAAGATATTTGACAGCTATATCTTTCTGCCACCACCTTCTTCCAAACCCACACATCTCGACTTAGAGTCTGCCGTGAAACGGAGTGCCCCCCCCGCCCCCCGCATCCAAATTGCCTGTGTGCTTTCAATGAAAAAAGTCAGTGCACAAGGACGGAAATCAGAGCGGCTGAAAATAGGTGCATGACTTGTTGAGCATACAAATCATTTCCCCCCCTACTCTCCAACGGAGAGGAAAAAAAAAATCCCTTACTCTCCTTGCAGCCGGTGTTCTGCAGTCGCGAGGTGGCCCGGGCTGGTCCCCGCACAGTTCTCCAGCCATCCCCGCAGGAAACTTTGCTCGCGGGGCCGGCTTGGTTACTGGGCTCCGGCGGAGAGCTTGGGCGTGCAGTGGGGGTTCCCTTCCGGCCAAGCCCCAGTTGGACCCCCGCGACGCCTCTGTCTCTTTAAATTCCAGCTGCGCGGCTGGGAAACAGCGCCACTCGCCGCCCTGGCCGGCTGGCTGCGAGCTCGCGCTTGGGCTGCCGGCTGCGCGCGGGGAGAGCTCGGCTCGGCCGGGGCTGCTCGGCGGCGGCGGCGCGGGGCGGGGAGGCGCGGCCCGGCCGAGAGCGAAGAAAGAGCGAGCCAGGCCGGGAGAGGCGCCGCGCCTGGTCCCGCGCCCGCTCTGCGGCCGGACGAGGATGTGCCGGGCTCCTGCTTACCCGCGTTCTGATTAAGACGATTTCCTTAGTAACCCGATCAAGTGGCTCAGGATCTCAAACCTGAGGATTTCAGCGGCCAGCCGGCGTTGACCTCGGCCAGGTAACGCTGCGATCTCATCTTCTTGCCTTGCAAACCGCTGCGCTCCTTGCAAAGTTCCTTTTGTGGAAAATCGCCCAGCCCCACGCAGCCTGGGGGATTTGCAACAGCGTGCTGCTACTCAGGTGCTTGCCACGGGCACCCTCCCCTGGCACTTCCCCAGAATCTATTATCACATTATTTAAGAATTATTTTCGTTGCTTCTTCCACTCCTTCCTCTTTTGGATTACCCCCTCCCATGCTTCTTTCTTCTCTCTCTCTCTCTCTCTCTCTCTCTCTCTCTCTCTCTCTCTCTCTTTTTTTCCTTTTCTTTTTTTTTTCTTTTTTGCCCTATGACTAGTGATGGGGGCACCAGGAGAAGTCGGAGGTGGGTGGGGGTTACGGGTAGTGAGCAAGGTCTAGGGAGTGGCGGGTTCAGATGGGCTGGATGCCCTGGGCTACTTGGGGCATCACACATTTGCTTGCGCTGGGGTATTGGGGAGGGCTGTCAACATCACAGAGCCTTAAGTGTAGACCAAGACCCATGTCTATGAGGGAGGGTTGCAGGCTTGCGGGTGATGGAGCGCTTGGCTGGGTGGCTGGCCAGCATCCATACATCATAGCTTTGCTGCCTACTCCCCCGCCCCTCTGGATCTCTTTCTGGTTCACCATCCTCTGTTTCTTTCTTCTTTTCCTCACCATCTTCACCATTCTCTTCCCTTCCTTTCCTGCCCTTTTCTTCCCCTCTTTCCCTTTTCCTCTCTACAAAAGGGGAGGAATCCTTTGTAATCCTTCGGTTCTGCCAGCCAGCGTGAGAATAACTGAAACCAGCAACGTGGCTACCTTAACCTGGTTGTTTTCAGACCCATCCTCATCCATCAACATATTTGTTTCCTGAGTCTATTGATCTCCATGGATTGTGCAGAAATGCATTCTAAGCTGGGCGACTGTATGTCAGAATCAGAGAAGTACGACATGTATTGTAAAGGCTGCATGCTTTTTAAATCCAAATAAGCCAAGGGTATAAATAAATGTCTTTGAAAAGAATCTAGACTTATTCTACTGAAAGTTTCCTCTTTAATTATTGCTATGCTCTCTTCTGACATTTAATTGTAGGGAACTTGGAAGACAGCCCCCTCCCCTCCTCTAGTTTATGAGGAACATGCAACTTTTATTTTAATTACCTCCTCTTGAACCTCATCAAGTTTGCCTTAGCCAGGCACTAGAATGAGAAGGTCATAGTTAAGGTTCGATGCTTGCTTCCTGAAATCCAAGCTGTCTGAAGTGGAGAGTATTCAGAACCAGTGGGCCAAACAGACCCTGCCAAGTAATAGAAAAGGGTTACAACTTCTGCAGGAAATAACTAGATTTGGATTTTGGTGTTGAACATGTGAAAATACAATAAAGCCAGGCCTTTTGTTTTTGATTATTGACATGTGGACAGCTGTACTGGGTAGGTGTAAGTTAGTGCCTGCTATTTAAAAATGATCTGCTAAAGTTGAGAACCCCTGCCTTCTTATTTGTGTTGGTTTCCTCACCATGCTTTTAATATTTGTTTGGTATGTTAGATGCCTGTATTATGAGAAAACAAAGGGCTTGTGTGAGGGAGGAGATGACTTCCATTTAGCCAGACAGAGGGTTTATCTTCAAAAATTTCTGGACTAAGAATCTTGTTACAGTCAAAACTCTTCTTGAGATCACAGAATTTCCCTTGTGGAAAATGGTGCTGATCAACTGTTTTCCTTCACTTTCAGTGATATAGATACTTGATACAGGAAGGTCTCAGTTTCAGAGAGCGCCCTTTTGCCTCCTTCCCTTTGTCTGCACATTTGTCTTTAAATTGAATTATTAATACAGAATGAAGGATCCTGGGGCAGAGAATGGATCAGACAGAAGAGAAACTACTGACAGAGTAGAAAACAAATCAAAGGCAAGAGGCCAGGCCACTCTCCAGCATCATCTTTATTTTTAGGCAATTAGGAAGCTTTACATCTTAAATGCATTGCATTTTCTTATTTCTTCAAATAAGATAGATTGCAACAGTAGTCATATTTATCCAGTTCAGATGAACAGTTACAGGATATACTACTTCCTTTGCCAGTGGAATCCAAAAGCATGCTTCTGACAACATTTTCTTGAACAATGATATAGTAATGATGCTGCATTGTTGATTCCTGACTTCCTATTTTGGTGTTTCCTGCATGGAGAGGTTGGTTCTGACATATTAACAAGATGCTCTTGTTAGGCTAAGTAGAGCTTGAATGCACAATTAACAAATTACAATTATAATAAGATGGTTATTTTTCTTGTTCTTGATGTAAGAGATGTCATGCCCACTTACTATTTTTGCTGTGATGCCTCTTCTTAGAGCGTGCATATATAAAGGACTTAACATAGAGACTTCTAAATGTCAGGTAATTTGAGCTTCAAAGTTATATTAGAGATAGCCATAAATCACCCTAATTTATAGTACATTGATTATGAAATTATTCACCCCTCCCCTGTGATTGCATCTATATATAGACCACTTAATGAAAGACTGGTGATGGTGAGCTATCTCTTATAACAGGAAGAAAGAACCCCTCAAGTCCCTATTTCATGCAGAAGGATTAGTAAAGTTTGTGATCTTTTATTTTAAAATATGAAATTGTAGAATGCTAATTATTAAGAATATATTTTATTCTGAGATTGCTGTAAGATCTTCCTCAAGTTGTCTGGAGTACTCTAAGTGATGCATCCTTGTAACCCATGGCAACAGGAAATGGTTGTGATAGGTGCAAGCTTAAGTATGGACAAGGCATATACTTTGTGGTTGTTCAGAGACTTCGTATGAAAAGAATTAGTGTTCTGGCTCCTTTGTACAGATGGTTGTTAACTTGTTGACTTTGAAAACAGTTCCCAGGCTTGCTTTGCAGTGCACCTTCTGTCCTTATTTTCTTGAGAGGTGATATAAAATTTTTAGGAAATACATAAGTTAAATGTCACTTTTATACCAAAGAATTTAGATGTGTGCATGAGTATTTGTGTGTATCTGGGATCATTAGGGTGGAAATACCACCATATCAGACCAGAGAAGAAATGCTGACTTCAGAAATGATAGGGTCAAGGAACTGGTTATGGGAGTAGGAGGCAATAGGCTGCTATGTTTCTACTTGGTACTCTCCCACAGAATTACTTTTGCAGTGGCCCTTTGATTCTCAGATGTTACTTAGTTTTGCATTTTTCCAGAAAAGTGAGCCCAATCTTTTCTTAGTCTTTTAATTAATTAATCCATTTCTCAAATGCATGGATTTGGCATAGTCCTGTGCATATGTATATGTGCATATGTAGCAGGGGTGAATACTGACATCCCAATACACACACACACACACACACACACACACACACACACACACACTTACTCGCACTCACTAGGCATGGACATACTGTTGCTCAGAGGCAGCAGAAATGACTTCTAAATAAAAATGGTTCCTTGGACTATTGATGACTGGGTAATGGTGGAGGAGAAGGTGAATAAGTTAAACTCTGTGTTCCATGAATAGAGACAATAGATGCTAAACAACTAATCGTATTAGATGCAGAACTGCTTAAGGCCAGCAGGTATCCTCCTTTTACTTACATGAATGCAAGTGGGGAATAAATTTGCTACATAAAAAAAATTAAGATCTCCCCCATCTCCTATCCTTCTCTGTAGGGAAAAGTCATTTCCCATAGATAAAGTAGACTTTAGGGTAGAAAAAGTCCCCAGTGCTATCTTTCTCTTCATACTTCATATTTCCTCCTGGGCCTAACTGTCACAATAATGTCTAATGTGAACCCATGTGGCTGAAATTTATTCTGTAGGTCACTATCCTTTTCTGCCCCAGATGAACTCTCAGAACAGATGTTGCAGTAGCACAGGTTCTGATCTTAATGCATCATTCAACTTATGTAACTCAATGGTCTTGTAAAAGGGAACTCTGGGTCTTTAAAACTATATGCATTTTGTATCCTCTTGCTTTTGGATAATTTTACAATATTCAGAGGAAATGAGCTTGATCCCAGTATGCATGTAAAAGCTTCCAGTTCATGTCCCTGAATTATTCGATGTTATTATGGTGACACTTGCTGCTAATCTGTGCATCATCATTTTCATAAGACTTGTGTTATTTTTTTCTACCTGAGATCTGGAAGCATTGTAGAAAACATAGTCAAAGTTTACTTGAGAATAGAAAGTTACTGTTTAGGCTAGAAATAATTTATACCAGGTCAGGCATAGCAAGGGATGTTTGAAACAAACTTTACTACTGTTTCTTTGATCTTGCATTGTATGTATCTGTGTGCAGTCTATGCGCAGAACTATTGGATTTACACTCATCTTCTTTTTTTTCTCTACTGGGGAATTTCACCTAAATCTTCATCATTACCTATGGACTCTTGGTGGGTTTGTAATATTGAGATGGAAGTGGTATCTTATATATGCTAATCTTGACACTGCAAATATGACAACTAAGTTGTATCCATTGGGAATGTTATTTCCAATCAAAAGAAACACTGAATACCTTCATGTGTTACTTTACTATGCTAGAATCTGACCTATGGATACCTGATTGTATGGATCCATTGTCAGGCAATATTGCTTAGCAAATTACATATGTGACTTGTGAAACAGATTTCCATGAGTTTTAATTACAACCATGTCACTTAATATGTAACTGGGCACATTTTTCCTCCTCTCCCCTCCCCTTCTCTCCCCTCCCCTCTCCTCCCCCCTTTTTCCCCCCTCCCCTTTCCTTCCCGTCCTTCCCTCCTTTTTTATTCTTTTTTTTTATTATTATTATTTTGGTCTTTTTCAGACAGAGTGTCCCTCCCCTGGTGACCTGGAACCCATTATGTAGACCATTATGTTGGCCTCAATCTCCACTTGTCTCTGCCTCCTGAATGCTGGGACTAAAGGTATGGGGTCACCACACTCAGCTGGGCACATTTCTTAACCTGCACCTCCGTGTCCATGTTGTGTTCTGTGAAAGTCATAAAGAATTTTT